TGAATAGCCAGCGTACACCAGAATATGGCTTACACGCACCTCACTCCTTCTTCGAATCCCCCACAATGATCCTCAGTTTCCCTTCTCCTCTCATACGCGGCAAAAACTCCTCCAACGTCCTCCCGTACTCCGCCGAGCGCGCCAACAGCTCCGAGCGGCGTGCAACGCACATCACCGTCTCGAGTCCCGAGATCACCGCGAGGGCATCATCGAGCTCAGCCCACGGCAGCGCACGCAGCGTGGGGAAGAACGCGTCGCTCGCCGCGCCGACGTGCTCAAGCCTGAACACGACGGTGCGCACGCTCGGCGGGGCGCAGCGCACGAGCGTGACGTTGGCGTCGAACGCCTGGGCCGAGCGCGCCGCCTGCCGGCGCGTGCTATCGTCGGGCTCGTCGTCGGTAGCGGTGCTGAGCTTGACCTTGAGGAGGGTGAGCGCGGTGCAGGCGCGCAGCGGGGGGAGGTTCCAGAGGGTGCTCGACCAGCTGTCTGTTGGGAACGCAATGCGTGAGTGGGCGCTGGTGCGAGGTGAGAACGGAGAGGAGCGAGATGGGGCTCACATTTGGGAGATCGGGAGAGCGCGTCCATGCTCCAGTACGAGCGCATGACGTCCAGGCACAGCTCCTCGAGCGTTTCCGTGCACAGCGGGAGGACGTCGTCCAATGGTCTGGTATAGGGGAAGTCGATGACTGCGACCCGCAGGGCGCGCAACCTCCAACGAGGATTCGAGTGAACATAGAGGAGGAAGAGGCCTTCGAACCCGGTCGAGACGTGGTAAGATGACTTGATGTGTAATTCTCGAATCTGAAGAGAGGTTGCTACAAGTGCGAAAAGAGGCGATAGCTTGACGGAATTCTGCCAGCGAACAAGGAGCCTCGTGATGGACAGAACTTCAATAGAGCGAAAGACGCGGAGGAGATACAGAAAAGGAATGAACGAGCCGTCTACGGATCCACAGGTGATAATGGTTAATCTCTTCAAGTTGTGATAGATGTACGACTTCGATCCGGGCGGAGGGAGGAGCGCTTCTGTGTCTCCGGAGATGCGAAGACGATAGAGAGAGATATGAAGGAGATTGGGCAGATGACGGAGTAGTTGTCTCAGATTGAAGACAGTGACTTCGCCGAGCTCGTTGGGGTGTCCGCCCGGTTCAATTACGAGATTCCTGACGAAAGGGCCTATGCGGTTTCCAGAAGACAGAAAATGCAGAAGGTCCTGCAATGATCGTCCGTCAGGCTGGATCTGATAACAGATCACGCTTTCGAAAAGATGATGTCGACAAGCGGGGAGCCATTGCTGGCATACGAGTGAGCATAACTTGAGTGAGTTAACGTCGTTGTGAAGGTGTTCAATGACCATGTCGGTGAGCTCCCCAGGAAGGTCGACGTCGACGGTCGTCATGACGCAGCTATATCATGCAGGGCGTCAGATTATACCACCAATCCAGAGTACAGAAACCAACCCTTACAGCAACTTATGTCTCCGCCGCTCGAATGCTCGCTCCCCGGTGGCAACTGGAGTGGCAGAGCACGAGTGTCAGCCTCGTTGTCGAGTGCCAGCTCGCTCAGCTCGGAGAACTCCGGCCATCGGCGCCGAACGAGCGCGTGGCTGCAAGACGGGCGCCAACTCAACTCTGACGTCGACCATCATGGACAGGGACTTGCCACCGGAGATCTGGAGACTTGTACTCGAATCACTTCCGCTGGAAGACAAGAGAACATGCTTGTTCGTATCCCGTCCCTACTACACCATCGTCGTTGCTTCTCTATTTCGCCATATTACCCTCCACTTCGGGCTTTGGCAGCCGCCACACATCGAACGGACGAGCGAAGACCTTTCGGAGCTTGTCGACCTGAACAACCGTACCTGGGAACTCTTGTATCGTATCTCTACTACTCCGTCTTTTGCGACGCACGTCAGGAAGCTGAATGTGCACTTCTACCCGGAAGACAACAACTTTTGCATCTTCGAGCTCCGTAAGTGCGTGAGCTCTATGGAAGGTCACGACGCTTATCTCTGCCGACCCTGCAGGACAACTGGAGCAAGCAATCCATGCACTAGCGCCCTCTCTCTGCTCGGTCGATTGGTTCGGTTCACCACCACCCGACCATTCCTCGTTGTTGCGTTCTCTTGCACAGGACACCGGTGCCACGCTACAACATCTACGCCTCCCGTACGCTGCTTTGATTATGTCATGATAGGATTATTCGCTCATCACCCACCCCATTTAGAATCGAAGTGGTCTCAAACAACGCTCTAGTCTCCTTCACCAACCTCCGCTCGCTGATCTTGCATCCTGATCCCGATCACCTTTGGGACCTTTACCACGCCAACCTGATCAAAGAGTCTACCGTGCAGTCCGTTTGCTCAGCGGTGTCCAACAACGCTCCGACTCTACATCACCTGTCAGCGGTTGGTGATCTCGTCATGATGTTCCCTCCCCGCGCCTTCATAGACGTCAATGTCTTGGAGCTCACACATACAGGCATTCTTGACGGGCTTGCTCTCATTCTCCGACACTGCGAGCGCCTTTGCGATCTCGCCCTCATACTTCGTACGATCATGCCATCCACCGTCTCGGGGCTTTCTGAGGCCCTTGTCCCGGACACGCTGCCGTTTCTCGAGTCGTTTAGATTCAACTGCGCAGAAGAAGCCTCCGTGCCGGCGGTCCTCGAAGTTATCAGCAAGTTTCTTGCTGGACGGCACATCTTGAAGCGTCTTGACATCAGTCCCGCGGACGTCGAAGACCAATTTTGGTCGGGTCTCCCTCCATCTCAGCCGATACTCGGCATGCTGCACACGCTCCCTTCCATCAAAGCGCTCGCGCTCGGGTTTGAGGCCGAGATCACAACCGAGACGATCGAGCAGCTCAGCTCGTGCGTTCCAATGGACATAAACGCGTTCCGCATCGGCGGGTTCGTCGTCCGTGACTACCTCATCGAGAACGCCTTCCTCTCTTTCGTATGTTCCCGTCCCGTCGCTGCAACAGTAGTTGGCTCACCCATTGGGCTCAGGTGCGCTGCAGGACCTCCCTCGGCTACCTGCACATCTTCAACCCGCACCCGGTCGGGATGGACTACAAGCTCCAGCTCCTCGAAGACCCGCCGCCCGCGCTCGAGCTGTACGGCTTCGGGCCGTATCTGCGCTGGCTCGTCCCCGGCCCGGACGGGCCCGACGCGTACCCGCCGCGACAGTGGACGGAGCACTGGCCGCCCCGCAAGGTCACGTTCCGGACGGTGGAGGATTTTGGCCGCGCGGACTGGGAGTGGCTCCTTCGGCACAATGGGAGATGGGACTATCGTACGTGTTTCGCTTCCGGGTGTGCTCCGGCGCGGGCTGATTTGTGCGACGCAGATTCTATGCCGCCGGGAGCACGTGTGCAGCTGTAGACTAAACTCGCTCGGGAAGATGTGGCGGGACTAGAAGGCAGAGCAGCGTCAAGGTCGATGCCTTCAGTGCGGAGCGACTCCATCGCCACCCCTTCCCAACATGGGTAATAGTCGCTTGAGTGGCGGATATCCCGCTGGCACTCCGACTTTCTACTTTTTTTGCCTTGTGCTGTGGCCTTCGTCTCGCCTCTGGAGGAACAAAGCGAAACAGGCTATCCAGTATATATAAAAGAGCGCGCGTTCCTCCTGACGACTCACCACAACAACGTCTTCCTCCTCCTCCGCACCAGTCGACAAGTTCACCCTTCATCCACTCTCGCACCATGTCGGAGCGTACTTATACCACCCCCGCCCCCGTCCCTACCGCCTCCCAGCCAGGCGGCCTGACGACCCGCGCTCAGCCCACGCACCCGCACCCGCCTATCGACTGGCGCTACCAGACCGAGGTGATCGTCTACCCACGGCGCAACGCGCAGGTCCTGTCACCGGACACGGCGAGCCCCCCGCTCCCGTACACGCCGGCATCGGCGCCGATCGTGAGGCCCGCGGCGGACCCCTCGGCGCGCTCTCCTCCGCAGCATGTCGCGGCGCCGCCCGCAGGGGCGGCCCCGTCGGGCGAGGTCGACCCGAACAAGTGCCCGCACTGCAACTACACGAGCACCCGCGCGCCAGACCGGCGCCGACACGCGGAGACCCACACGGGCGATTCGACGCCGCCGCGGTGGTTCTGTAACGGGCTGCGACCCGCGGAGGCGCGGAAGCGTGGGATCAACATTAAGGGGATGCCGGTGTATATTATCCAGGCGCAGAAGAGGGTGGGAGGGTGCTTGATGGCGTTCAGCCGGCGCGACGCGATGCTGCGCCACCGGCGCACGTCGGGCGGGCAGTGCTTCGGGAAATGAGATGGTGGTGAGGGAGATGGAGTGGAGGTCAACGTTCCTTGTCGGGCGCCGGCCTCTTCTTCCGCTTTTGGTTGTTTCGCCTAATGAAGTATAAGTACGAGGGGCGATGGGAATGGCATTCAGAGGCGTACCTTCTCCGCATCGAGAGCACGTTGGATCATCTGGGTCGCGAGGGAGCCCTTGGGCCTTGACGGTTGACCTCAGCGACGGGCTGTGGCGGCACGAGCTACCCAATCGTGTGGTCTCTACTCCGACGACTTTTCGGTTTGACGGCAATGGGCGCCATCGCAGACTGCTCACCGCTCAACGTCACTGCTGCTCGCGCGGGTGTGTTGGAGATACGCTCAAATTCTGAGGCACGGTACATTTCGTTTTACGGTGTATACTGATGGTGGTTCCTAGCACTACAACATATCAAGAAACTCTGACTTGATTTCCATCCTAACTCCAAGTCCCTTCGTGGCACTTAGGGAACGTCGCCGCGCCGCGTCTAGCACACCGGCTTCCTGTACACCATGAGTCCAGAAAGACCCACTGTTAATCGATCAGGATAAGCAATTACTCCCGGTCGTACTATAAGGGGAGTACTCACTTGCGGCGCTCGTTCCGTTCGTGGTCGTGAAGCTGCCAAATGCGAGCACGTCGGGGGTGTAGAACGCCTTTCCTTGGTTGCTTCCGTCCCCGTTCCCGAACGGCTGTCGCTCAGCGTCAGTACCTCAGTGATGCGCGTGCTCGGGCGTGACAATTACCCCCGCGGTGCGCGTCGTGATCTTGGCGGTGTCGAAGATGACGAACCCGATGCTGATCACCAGCTCGCGGTTGTAGTACGAGTGCATCCCCGCGCGGCCAAACACGCCCACCAACACTTCGGTGTCTCCGAGAGTCACGGAGCTGATAGGGGTGCTGAGGACGGTTCCGTTCGTCACCACGGACGTGCCGCCGTTGGCGAGTCTGTACGTGACGGTAATCCCGTCCACCTGGTAGTACCGTCCGGAGCCAACGGTGAGCACGCTTCCTAATACATTGAAGGCGGGCTACGTACCACCCAGCCGTGGGCGAGGTCGATCTTCTTGACAGGGTTGGAGGCGTTGAGCGTGTTCTTCCCTGTGTTTTCGATGAGTCAACGACACTAGAATGGGCCATGCGAAGGGAGCGCTCACCGCTGTCGTTCAACACCAGGTTTCCTATCAGGGAGCAAGGTCAGCGGTCTACCCGTTAACGTATCGCGTCAGTCCAACGGCTCACCGGCGCCGTTCAGGAAGAGCAGGCCGTCGTTCAACGTGCCCTGGCTTCCTCCGACGAGAGCGGTTCCCAAGTAGCTTTGCATTGTGTGCTGACGGGTAAGCAGTGGGCGAGTGTGAGGTGGGGTGAGTCGATGGAGGTACCAGAGTCTCAGCCCTCTTTTATGCGCACGCTGGCAGGCCTGCACGAATACTTGAAGTCGTACGTGGCCCCCTCTGTGCGCCAAAGCGCATCCACATGATCGTCTTCCAGGCGAGCTTGGCACGTATCCGAGGCACAAGGGTCTCCGTACTGACCCCTGAATGCCCAGATCTTGCACGGTATTGGTGGTGCTACACGAATACGTATCAAGGACAGACAGAACTCGGCTCGCGCTGCCTGGAAGCAGGAGCGCATGACCGGGATGTTCGCCTCCGTCCAAGGGACGCATTTTCGCCGTCCTCCACCAAGTCCCTAGGTGCGACGTCTCCGTCCTGATACCGAAGTTGCACACTCCCGTGACGCGGAAAACGCACGGCATGCGTGAGTATTACGACATACCTGTCTTCATGATTTGGAATGTCCTAGATCATCTTACAGACTCTCTGGACAGGACATCGCCGCTGCAGCGGCGGACATGAGAATGCTTGGCTGGTGCCAGAGCTCGTGAGGCGAGAACAGGGCAGAAGGAGAGATCAGATTGGATAAGGAAGTCGACAAGCATGAGCAGTTCGACTCCCTCTCCGAATGTCTCTCTTTCTCCCATACACCTTCGCGGTCGTGTTCGACGGCCTGCCAAACCCCGCCCGCGCCAACCACCCCATCGGCCGCTTCCACAATGCGCAGGAGGGCTACGACGACTGTTGGATCCAGAACGGCCACCTCGGGTTCCTCTGTGCGCGAGCTGCACGTCCGGTTCACGACGAGGTTCGACATGCGCGGGCTGCGGTTCTTCCTCAAGGCGCTCCCCCACCTCGAGACGCTTGCCCTGGACCTCAACCGCCTGTCGCCGTTTCATGACACGCCGAACTAGCCTGAGTTCGTCGGCGCGCTGCTGGACGAGGTCCTGCGGGCGCTGCCGTGGTGTGCCGAGACGCCGTGTCCGTCGCTGCGGACGCTCGCCGTCCAGCGTGCCCAGGTTCCAGACGAGGCCATCGAAGATGTCAGGGCGCGGTAGGTGGCCCGAGCTGCTCGCCGAGCGCATCGACGCGGCGGGACACCACGCAGACCCCATCGAGGAGTTCACGGAGACACGCGTGGAGGGTCGTATCTGTCGGTGTGCGTACGCTGAACCGGGACATGCTGGAGCTGAGGCGCCGGCATTGACGGTCTGTTATGTTTGAAACGTTGATGTCCGCCTTTCCCGTTGTTGTCAATTGTAGAGCCGTGCAATGAGCAACGGCATCTGTATAACCACACGAGATATGCTAGAGAAAGAGGTCGTTGTGAGTCCCCTCCTTCCGCGAGTCGAGTCGTTGCTCACTTACCAGGCGACATCATCTGCTTGTCTTCGTTGTCATCTCAGCCACGGTTGACCCGACCGTCGCCGTGATTGGAAGACTAGATACACGAAACGGAACGAAAGCACATCCAAGTGGCTACATGACGTGCACCTTGAGCTAGACGACGCGAACACACGTTTCGGTATGCGCGACCCAAGATCGAATTCCTAGAATAAACGTTACACGTGACGTATTCAACACCAGCTGAAGTTTGAACGGTACATCGAGGAGAAAGCGAAGGGAGAAAAGCCAGTAGAAAACGCACGGGTCCGTCAGCTCTCCACGCAATGCCACTCCTCCACAGCCTGCCTCCCTGCGCACGATAATTGCCGGTTCTTCAGGTGCCGTGTCAGCGCATCCTTGCGGGAGAACTCCTTCATACATCCCCCAACCATCGTCCGCCCGCACTCCACCGCCGCCTGCACCTCCTCCATCGGCACCGCCATCCTCGTGTACTTCGGGTCGCCGGCGTAGCGCAGCGGTACCCCGCGACACGTCCAAACGACGTCAGGTTGACCGTGGGTGGCAATATGCCGCTTCAAGTCTGGGGTGCGGCGCGAGTGCTGGATGAACGGGCAGTGCGGGCACTTCCACGGGTTCCTGGACGTCGTGGCGGTCGCGGAGAACGCGGAAGGGGGTGCTGCGGCGGGATTGCGGCGCCGGATGTGCCGTGGAGGAGGAGTGGCGGGAGTCGTGGGCTCCTCGTGGCTGGGCTGTTGTGCACGAGGCGACGGGGCGTGGGCAGGAGTAGGGGACGGCGACGACCCGTAGGACGACACCGAAGACGCATCTTCCGTAGAGTCCTGGGTACTTGTAGGAGACGACGCGAAGGAGAAGCCATCATAAAAGGAGCCGGGGGATGCGACGCCGTCGAAGGGGAAAGGGTCGTAGAGCGTACCGCACGGCCAGTCGTCGCTCGACGCGAGTGCGTCCGTGTAGCGCAACGACGAGAGCTCTTCGTAGGAATTGACTCCCTGCGTGGATCCGCAATCGATGCCTTGTGAGAGATGCTTGGAGCCCTTGAGGAAGGCCGGGGGCTGGTCGTCGCCTAGCGCACCGTCCAACGCCGAGTACGACGATCGGAGCCGATGTTGCACAGCAAGCCAAAGACGTGGTTCATCTTCGTTGTAGCTTGCACCAGAGGAAGGCGCGATGTGGAGAGGGGGGAAGTCCGCTGGGGCAGCGGTGGTGGAGGTCGAGTGCAACGGCGGGTAAGCCGCGAGACTAACGATCGGTGTTAATCGCTTATGTAACACTAACAACCCGACTAGTTACTCACTAGCGGGGCTGCAGATCGATCGTGGATGACTCGTCGATGTCGCGGGAAGTCTCAGGACTCTCTTTGTAGATGCTGCACTTGTTATCTGTGCTCAGAATGTCTGGAGAGTGACAGGAGAGGTTGGTGTATGCGTCAAAGAGGTGCTGGGTGAGATGCATGGCGATTTGGGCGGGAAAAACGCTGGGGACGTCGGATTTTCGCGGGGGAAGCGGTGGGAGGGGAGAGAGGTGGGTGGGTGGCACATCCTGGCGCACAGCGGAGACTCATGGCGACGACGGGGAGGGCGTGGTCGACGGGGCGAGAGGGCAGGGCGAGAGAGGTGAATGAGAGCAAGATGATCTGCCCACGGTCTGGGATCTGAGCTGACGATGTGAAGGGGTGGCGATGCTTGCGCGTGACCTTTGCACGTGCACACCACGCGAGCAGACGCTGCGGGTCGTTGCATTGTAAGCGCCAACTGACAGACGATTTCGGGCCCTACGGTGGTGTGCCGCCGCGTACTATGCGGATTGGGGACGGATATTGCAAGTCAGTGCGGTTCTCGCCGAACAAGCTTGCGCACGGTCTGGTTACTCACCAACGCCATCAGCGCATCCCCTCATTTCGACCACTGGGGTCAAAGCCTGCATACCATCCTCGGCACCATCTCGGTTGCAAGCTCTCTAGTGAGCGGCCTCTCGACGCCGTTTCTGGCTAAGGTGTGCATGAACGTCTCCCGGTCTTGCATTTTTCCAACCAAGCTTAGCTTGCAGATCTCGCCGGGCGTCCTGTGGCGCTCTCGATATCCGTAGTTCTCTTTACTCTGGGATACATCATCATCGCGGCCTCCAAGACGGTCGACGCCGTCGCAGGAGGAGAGATTATCTATGCCCTCGGTAGCCAAGGGCTGAGGTTCCTCACAGGCATCATTGTCGCCGATATCACCTCTTTACAGTGGCGGAGCGTCGTTTACGAGCTCCTCATCGCCACTCCTATACTCATCAATACGTTTACATATCTCGACGTCCATCACCATTGGAATCGCTGCTAATTCAGCAAACGGCTGGCGCTGGGGCGTGAGCTTCATAACGCCTCCGTCTTCTCTATGATTCTCATGTTTTTCTAGTTCGGGATGTTTGCGATTTTGGTTCCTGTGACCCTCAGTCCCGGCGCGTTGACGCTTCTCTTCTGGAGCGAGCGGAGAGCGAAGAACCTAGGAGGTGCATTCACGTTGGCTGTATTCTGAACGACAAACGCTCACACTCTGTTGGACAGCGCTATCGCTCACCTCAAAGAACAAAGCTGTCAACAACGGTGCACGCCTATCAATACCTCGGAAGGTCATCGCAAGCTGGAACGCCATGGATGCCCTCGGACTTCTCCTGATCGGTTTCTCGTGCGCGATGCTCCTCATCCCCCTCACTCTGTCGACCACTGCGAAGAACGGCTTCCGTAACCGTGAGTGTCTCGCGCCGCACTTTCTTCATCTTCGCATCGCTGATCATGAAGTAGCGTCTCTTGTTGCAATGTTTGTCGTCGCAGGCGTCCTTCTGATCGCGACAGCGGTCTGGGAGTGGAAGTTCACATCGCACCCGATCATGCCTTGCCGCATCTGGAACCGCACGATGATTTGCTGCGCGTTCATGGAAGCTGTCTATTTCCTTTCTAGCCATCTGTTCTCGACGTACCTCAACTCGTGGGTCTATGTGGTCGGCGAGTACTCGACTTACGGCTCCTTACATACACGCTGACGAGCCATGACAGCTCTCAAAGTACACATACTGGACATACATCCAGACCGTCACTGGCGCCTTCGTCTGCATCCTAGTAGGCTTCCTCATGCGCTACACCCACCGCTACAAGTACCTTGAAATATTCGGCCTCTGCGTCCGCATCATGTACGCTCTCACCTCCCCTCTCCTTTTCTGCACCTCTCGCTCACTCTCCACTCTCATCTGCAGCGGTCAAGGGATCCAGCTCTACGCGCTCTCAAACCCGTCCACCACCGTGCTCGTCCTCAGCATCGTCATCATCACCGTCGGGGCCTCCTTCCAGATCGTCGGCTCCCGCGTCGCAGTGCAGGCCTCGGTCCCGCACCAGGACATGGCGCTCGCCACCGCGCTCCTCGGGCTGAGCGCAAGCGTCGGCGGCGCCGTCGGCTCCGCGGTCGCCGCCGCGGTCTGGATCGCCGAGGTCCCGCGCGGCCTCGCGCGGCTCCTCGGGGACGTGTACGGCCCGGAGGAGCGTGCGCGGATCTTCGGGAGCATCGTCGTCGCGCGCAGGGTGCCGGAGCACGCGCAGATCGTCGAAGGTGCGTCCCACGGCGTCGTCAGGCTCGGGCTTCGTGCGCTCACGGGGGGGGCCGCGCAGCGTACAATGGGGCGATGCGGCCGCTGTTCATCGCGGCGCTCGTGACGGCGGTCCCGCCGCTCGTTGCGGGATTGCTGACGGAGGACTTCTACTTTGGGACGCGGCACAACGCGATCGAGGACAAGGAGGTCACGATGGGCGCGCAAGAGGAAGATATTCGGGCACGAGAGAAGGAGATGATGGAGAAGAAATAAGTCGGGATGCGGCTCGCATGGTTCCGCTGGGCTTGGCCGAGTCTTTTCGCTGCGAGGTTGTGGTTTGGAATTCAGTGATTCCTGTGGTATGCATGAATGTCAATATTGTCCAAGATCGAACCCGGAACGCTGCTGGCTCTCGTCTCGCTCGCGCCACGTGAACAGGACCGAGCGCGAGCGCGAGAGCAAGCTCCAGGAAACGATGCCCCCCGCGATGACGATGGGAGAAGAAGGTGGGAGGGGGCGAGGGGCGAGGGTGCGGCGAGAGTGAGGGCGCGAAGATAAACTCGACGGTGGCGGGCTCGCGCATCAAGTGCACGTGGCCTATTAGTCTCACGTAAGCGATTGACACTGGCTCGCCACCAGTGGCACCTTCTCCTACGTACTACTTCCCCGGGTCTCCCACTGCCCACCCCGCACTTTTCATGGTCCATGACCCAATTCTAGCGTAGCGATTATCGCTGGACCGTGCGCTAGGCGGTCGACCCTCCGCGAAGACCCCGGGCATAATGGAGATGATCCATGCAGACGGCACTTTTCAACACTCAACACTCGCTGCCGAGCCTCGCGGAAATCCCGTCTCTGCAGATGGCCTATTACATGGTGCGCTCTTTAATACACCCCTCGGCTTTCTGCACGATGGCGTGTCCTCCCATAAGCAGCCAAGGATGAGGAGGTGAGGACGGCGATGGAGCTCGGGCAGAATATGGTGGGCAGGTGCGGGAAGATGTGCTCGTGCAATGATGCGTTTGCTCGGTATCTATAGAACCCATATCTCTCGCGCGCAGCGATACGGCCAGTGGAAGGTTGGAACCAGGTTGACGGCTGAGCGTCGGGAAAAGGTTATATGGATCTGTTGCATGTTCTTCGTTTCTTTGCACGCGTCTTTGCACCCTTCCTCCTCTACGTGCCTCTCCAGTCTCTTCCCTATTGGTTTCCGGAAACGCAATGAATGCGCTGTCCTTTCTCCACTCTCCGTATCCGATCCCTGTTGCAGCCAATGTCTGCTCGAGACGGAGCTGTCCTTGACTGCAACCGCGGCTTCACCCACGTACTCTCTCCGAAGTCGGCGCGTCGGCGACACCGTTCTAGCATGCACGCATGCCTGCTTTGTACATTGATCGGAAGAGATCGGCACATTGCATGCGGGGAGAACGTGCTTTAGGTTGACACTGAAGTAGGAGGAGGACCTCGGAGGGAATCCGCCGATAATCACAGTGCGTCCTTGCTCCAGCGTCGCAGCGTTGCCACTCACTGATGAACTCACGAACTTTCCTAGACGCATAAACGGCATGTTCATGCTGTCGTATTTTAACCGCCAAAGCCATCGTGGTGTCGATATTTATCCGGCATCCCATGCACAGGCTATGGGGCATTTCGACCGGGAAGGACCTTCCTGCAGTCAATGAACACGGTCATATGTACGCGTCCCCGCGGGAACGCTATTTCTTACGGTCTGCTCACTAAGCTCATGTTCACACGAGTCGTTCGGCATTAACGCCTGAGGGAGACGCCTTATGAGGACACCGAAGTGCGTTGTTCGCGGTTCGCGGTTTGCGCGCTGGACTCTGCTGATTCATCGTAGAAGTACAAAGCATTTCGGCGGGACGCACGCTGATGGAGCAACAACCTCCAAGCCGAGCTGTGTCGTGGACAGTTCGCCGTGAAAAATCGGGGTGTCGTTCATTGGCGTCCAATCGACGGTCCTCGCAGTATATAATAGGCCCCAAACGCAGCGAAGAAGGCATCAACCTCCCTCGTTCAGATATTTCGAACAGCACCACCGCACTTACAATGGCCATGGAGACTGCAGGTTCGTTTCCGCCCCTCGCCCTTCACCAAAGTTGCTAACCCCGTGCTCACCCTGGACGCAGCCCCGACCAAGTTCGCCGTCCTCATCTTTCCCGGCTTCGAGCCCCTCGACGTCTTCGGTCCCGTCGAGATCATCCAGACCCTCTCCTCCCACAAGCCCATGTCCCTCTACTGGATCTCCTCCTCCACCTCCCCCGCGCTCGACCCCGTCAGCACCCTCGTCCCCGACGACCTCCCCATCACCAAGCCCGCCTTCCTCACCAACGTGAAGAACCCCAACGCGGGCGCGACCGTCGTCCCCACCCACACGCTCGCCGCCCCGCCCGACGACATTGACGTCCTCCTCGTCCCCGGCGGCTGGGGCGCGTTCTCGCACGCGCTCGGGCCCGCGGTCGAGTACCTGCGCGCGACGTACCCGACGCTCAAGTACATGATCAGCGTGTGCAACGGCGCGGAGCTGCTCGCGCGCGCGGGCGTGCTCGAGGGGCGGCGCGCGACGTGCGACAAGGTGCTGTGGGCGCACAACACGACGATGCACCCGGGCGTGGGGTGGGACAAGAAGCCGCGGTGGGTGATCGACGGGAACGTGGTGACGTCGGGCGGGGTGAGCGCGGGGCTGGACATGGCGCTGGGGTGGGTTGCGCATGTGTGGGACGAGGGGCTGGCGCGGGAGATTGCGAACGTGGTGGAGTACGAGTGGCGGAACGACCCGAACTTCGATGTGTTTGCGTACGTGTGGTAGACGGTGGGGGTTGTAGTGCGCGCATGGACGGGGTAAATGTAGCTGAGTTGCAGGTGCTAATGTTGCCGCGGGAGTTCCAATTCGCGGCGTCTCGCCACTGCTCAACCCATCTGGATGTCAGACTAATGCGCTCTGCGATGCTTCGCCAACATTCTTTTCTGCGTTCTCGAGGTCTTCCGTGTTCTCTTCCAACCCATTCCAATCCAGCCCATCTTCATCGTCCGATGCCAGCTCGCCATTCGTCCACGACCGCTTCACCGCCTAACACCCCGAACTGCCTTCGATCCGCTCCAGCCAGTGCCTCAGCGGCTCGTCCTCTGGGTGGATGCGACTATACCATTTATCCGCCCGAGGCGGTGGGAGCCCGACCCGGCATCCGGCCGGGCCCGTCGCGTTGTTCCTCAGTTTCCAGGGCTCCAAGGCGAGGCTTTGGAAAGCGACTGCTATTCGCTTTGTGATCGAGCTTACAACGCACAATAGTACAACGGCGGAATGAAGGTGCTACATCTACATAGAGACTGAAAAAACGACTGCGGAGGACGACGCCTTAAGCGATGGTGATTCTCTTGGGAGCCCTTTCGGCGGACTGCCTCGGATAGGTGACGGTCAGGACGCCGTTCTCCATCGCTGCCTTGATGTCCTCGGGCTGCAGCGCACCTCGTCAGCGATCGGCTCGACGGTCGAGAGATGCACGCCAAGCGGTAAGCAACTCACCTTGACGCCCTCGGGAACGGGCACGGAGCGCGAGAACTTGCCGTAGCGGCGCTCGCAGAGGACGACCCCGCCCTCGTCCCGGTTCGTCTCCGTCTTGGTCTCGCCCGAGACGGTGAGGAAGCTGTCGTGGACGTCGATGCTGACGTCCTGCTTGTTGATCCCCGGGAGCTCGAACGTCGCGGTGACAAGGTTCTTCTCCTTGTCCTCGTGGACGTCGATCCTGGAGGAGTCGTCAGCTGTGAATGCGGGAGCGCGGAGGGAGGGGGCATACCTGGGCCGGAGAACGGAGGGTGTCACGGCCTGCGAAGTGGTTATCGCCGGGGTCGGCGCATTGCGACGGACGAAAAGCTTCGTCGAACATGCGGTCAAAGTCGGAGAAGAAAGAGTCGTTGAAGAGGTTGAAGAGCGACATAGTGAGGGGAGGTCGTGAGCAGTATAGATGTTGTGGGGTTGTTGTGGTGTCGAGAAGTGAACTGTTGAGGGATCGAAGAGCACGAGGGGCCCTTATATGCGCTTCGTCTATGCAGAAAGTTCGAGACGTTGAAGAGTCTCGAACGACCAACTGAGGTCATGAGAGACGCAGGTGATGACGTATGTGTGCGTTCAGCCTTCCTCGTATGTTCTCGGTCATACCGTCATTTGAATGGAGCGAAATGTCTGGAAACGCCGACGGCGTCTCGAACCTGCGTGCATGGGATGCGGAACTTGTTCTGCGGTCAAGAGAGGAAGCTTTGCTAGGCGCGCGCTGGCCGGGTGGTGACTGATGCTTGTGCATGTTTGCCTCGCATCCGCATTTGGCACCCAACGCCCACGCGATCTGTCTCTCGACATTTCGCGAACGCGCGCCTCATTTCGTATTCTCGACCACGTCGAGCGCACCCGTCTGTTCGCGAACAGTCCGCCAGTACGCGTCATACGGGATGCGCAGGTACAAGTACCCCCGCCGCATGGCACTCCGGCCTCACAAAAACACATCAACATCCACTTCACGATTTCTACACGACCCAGTCTCCCGTCTCAATCACCATGTCTCTCACCTTCGGCACTCCCTTCTACTCTCTCACCGACTTCGACCGCCTCTTCGATGACGCCTTCAACGCCCGCGCAGGCCCTGTTGCCCGCCAGGGCGAGTCTGCTGTCCGAGTCATGCGTCCGAAGTAAGTTGCTTCTGCGCCTCCGACGCTTGCCGAACACGAATGCTCACGACGCACCACAGGATGGACCTCCACGAGGACAAGGAGAATAATCTCGTCACCGCCACCTTTGAGCTCCCCGGTCTCACGAAGGAGACCGTGAGCCTCGATTTGCGTGACAACGTGCTCAGCGTTTCTGGCGAGTCCACGATCTCGGCCGAGCGCGACGAGAAGGGCTACGCGGTGCGCGAGCGGCGCTTCGGCAAGTTCTCTCGCGCGATTCCGCTTCCTCAGGGGATCAAGGTATGTGCTTCCTGCGCGACCCAGACCAGAATAATGGAACTGACGCGCGACTTTGCAGCCTGAGGAGATCAAGGCGTCGATGACCGACGGTGTCTTGACCGTCACTTTCCCGCGCACCACGCCCGAGCAGGCGCCGCAGAAGGTCAAGATCGACTGAGGTCGTTCTTCTGACCGCGTTTATTCTCTCCGTGCTGTGAACTTGCGCGTTATATGTACCTGTAGCATAGCATTTCCAAAACATGAGCCAAAAGTCAACATCATATGACGAATGCACACTTCTAGTGGTGACTTATTGAGTCTCGGAAATCGGTGCCGTGCGGGAGTCGAACACCAGACTTGCCACATTTTGCCCCATCGGCGCTTGAGCTCTTCCGCTCATCTCCTTGTCTCCAACCTTGATATTCTCTCGTGGCCGAGCATGACAGAAGACACGTCTAACCTCCGGGCTGGGCCATACGGTCTAGCCAAGCTCTCTGCGTCCATCCTCGCTGACAGTGGTACTGACTTGATCAAGGGTGTTGACAGTCCCATGTCGCTGCGACGCTTCCAGTCCGAACCGATCACGACGCAGAAGCCAGTGGTTCAATGTGGGAGAGTGGGAGCACATGGTCAGCGCAGAACGGCGGTGAGCCTTCTCATAGCATATTATTTCTGGAGCGGACGTCGGGAAGACCCAGGCAGTGCCGTGGCGGTGATTGGTCTCAGTTCCTCAGCCGGAAATTTGACCGCCGGCATGGAGGGGCATTCAAGTATCACGAAAGGTTTTGGTACGTCAACTACAGTGGCATGACTGACCAACCGGACTTCTCTTATGCACAGACCCGCGGACAATCAGCACCACGGTGATTGTGACTGCGTGTCGAGACCTTGTTCTGACGTTTAGCAGAGACGAAACGAACCTTCCCAGGTGCTGAGCACATGGTACCCGGGACAAGCCCACGCCGGCGACTCTAATCCTTCGGCATCAACGGACTATCATCCCCGGTTGTGGACTACATCCCGTTGCACCTGGTGATCACGCGGTGGCACTGCTGGCGCACCACACGGAGAATACTTCACCGAATGCTCCAGTGATGTCTTCTGATCCTCGAAGCCGGTGAGGCTGTAGCTGATCATCCTCTCGCACTAAATACTTCCCTCGTCAGATGGTTCGGTGGCCAGCCTTCCCTCCTCGACCCCTTTCGCCGCTGTGGCAGACATACCGTCGCATGACCACCCCCCAAATTATCGACCAAAGGTGAGTACACGGATTTGAGTCACGAGAGTGGATGATCATAATGTATGCGCTTACAGCATCCTAATGGGGCGGTCAGGGCTTGCTGCGACCGGTGTGTACGAATCGCTCGCCTACGAAGATGTCCATGACCGAACATCACTCCTCTCGTTAGCTCTACTCGTTTATGATACTATCCTGTGCTTCAACCACGAGTGGAACCTGGTTTGGAGCAAACTACCACATCCTCTTAGTGTGCTGTACGTCGTCGGACGTTATTCAACACTACTGGGTTTCGTGTTGCAAAGCATAACGTACATAGATTCAGAGGTGAGCAGCTTTGCTATTAGCTTCAACGGTGGACGTCCTCTCCTGACGATTTGACTTAGAGGTACGAGTACCCACCACGATTTCAATTTAACTCTCAACCAGCGTCGATAGTGGCTGGGCTCTGGCCAATGCTACTAAAATCAGCGTCGTGATACCTTACATCGTATGGGCAAGTGCGTATCATCCTGCTTCGTTTGATAGCGAACCGTAACTTAAGCTGCTTCGTAATAGTATTTTCGGGGTGGCGAGTCTTTGCACTCTCCGATCGCAACATTCCCCTTGCATTGGCAGTCTTCTTGCTTTCGTCTTCAATAATCATTCCGAATATAGTGCGTGCAGAACTCCCATGTTTGCGATGTTCGAACCACAGCTGACAATCAACCCCTGTAGTACGGCTTGGCTGCTACCGCCGCTCAAACAGCATCGCCTCTCACTATATGCATATGGCTCTCGAGGGCTGCTTTCCTCGTCGGAGAGCTATTACCAATAGTATTCACCCTCAAGGCCACGCTCGGTCCGGGTCTATGCACGACATCCGTCAGACCTTCGTACAACTCCATCACCGGTGTAGTTCTCTTTAACGGCGAGTTTTTTTATACGAAATTCCCCACAGACTGCGAGGCGAATTCTAATCTCACCACAGGCCTGATATGCTTCTTGTGAGCTGTTTGCGCTTCGAAAGTAGTATTATCTGACCCAAACGCAGCGTGCCAATATTCCTCACCATCACAGCCGCTGTGCTTGATACCATGGTAAGCCGAAGCTTTGATCGCACCGGATGCTCTTGCTCACTCTACGTGCCTGACGAAGGACTACAACACCTCGAGTATCCCTGGGCCCGTGCGCGCTGGTGCCGTCGCTTCTATAAGAGACAGGTTCGTCACAGTTGCATCGGTGTTCAGAACTAGCGCGAAGTTTACCTGAACATTTGTTCAGTCTTACGGCGATCCTCATCTCACGCTTCCTCTTGCAACTTAGTAACTTGCAGGTTCGCAAGGAAAATGAGCAGATGATGGTGGAATCACACGACTTTTCCGGCGTCATCACAACGGGAGTCCCGTCCTTCCGAGACGTGACGTCTGACTTCTATGAGGCGAATATGCGCTTCCCCTCCAACGCGCGAGGGGAAGGAGTGAAGCCGGCGATGAGCCACCAGTCCCAGGTAATCCGTTATCGCGTTCGTTTCATGCATCATGCCTGATGCACCCGTTTTTCTTCGAATAATCAGGTCACAGTGCCAGATCGGAATGAACCCCGAGACTTTCATCGGCCCGCTTCTACTAATTTCGGCAGATCATCTGATGAGTGGTCACAGCGCGTGAAGGATGCGATCCGTGCCGTGGCTTGAATGGTAGATCCTGTGTATTTATGCTCTAAAATGCGGCGGTGTGTTTCGTTTTCCCAATCTTGTATCTATCCCCGTTTTACGACCGTTTCCGGGATGGCACGAGCATCGAGGGGGGTGACCGGCCTCGTATAATTTGCTTTCTCTGCTCTGGGAGCGACCCGTCGGGTTTACGTGGATTGCAGTCGGCCATCTCGGACACCCCGGCCTGGGCCAGTGCGCGCGCACCCTCGAGGACAAATGGAGCCGGATTTCGAGCGCGATGTCATCCCTATGGCGCGCGCAAAGGGAATGACCGTCGCCCGATGGAACGTGCTTGCGGGCGCCGGAATATTCGTGCGGAAGAGCAGACTGGGGAGAGAAACAAGTTCTCGCACAGCTTGTGGCCTGACGTGTAGCGCTTATGGCTGGAGTCGCGCAGGATACACACGCACGTCGTACGAGGAAGAGGGGAACTGGCACGAGCGTGCGGTGTGCAGGGTTTTCGAGCGGGTTGATGAAGCGCTGGCTACTCAGGTCTGCGCAAAGTCCGTCCAAGCTGGTGAGCGCAGTTGAAGTGAGACGTGTGTATTGATGAAATTCGGACATTTACAGTTGCGATTGCGTACGTGATGCAGAACATGCCGTTGGTGTTCACCATTTTCGGTGAACACTAGGTCGAGCACATGCCACACAGACGGTTCGAGGGAAACGGTGAGGACTACAATCGGCCACCGGCGTTCAAAGCCTGCCCACGGCATCCGGTGCAGACCGGGTAGTGTCTGGTCAGTGGCAGCCGGTGGGTTTATCCTCCCACAAATCATTGCCTGAAAAGCCGTCAGAGTGCCGTTCATGTTGATGCGTTTTATGCGCTTAAAACAACAGAAAAATGTGTCAGAGGACCATGCAGATCCTGCTTTCATCGGAAGAGGAGGAGGATATTGCAATTTGAGCCCCTCGGCGTCTGAGAACTCGTCGCTTCTCCTTTCACACAGAATTGGCCTGCGGGCAAACGGTGACCCGTCGAACGCCGCGACTGGTTCTCCAATACAATCGGAACCCGCCCGATATGCGATCGGAATCGTGAGCTTGCGACGGTGCATGGGTGTTAGCAGTTAACCAGTCCATGTCCTGAGCAGGCAAGGTTGCAGAGTAAGTACACAGAATTTAGTCGGGGGAACGACAAGTAACTAACAGCTTGGCGCAATGCAGACGTGGGCGTCCGGCCGGGATATCCTATGAATAGGTATCTTGCAGGAGTCGCATTTTGCGGATATAAAAGCCTGCTGCAGCTCGCCCACAAGCACCACAGCTCCTTCGTCTGGCCTTCAACGTCCACTCCACTTGTTCACCATGTCTGTCATCGCAACGTTTTGGAGTCCCGCTCCGCCGCCGCCCACCCCACTCGGCCACCACCGCCGCCTCTCGTCTCTCGCTGGCGTCCATGTCTCCCCCATCTTTCTCGGTGGCATGAGCATCGGCGACAAATGGACGGACATGGGCTTCGGCTCGATGGACAAGGAGTCCAACTTCAAGCTCCTGGACGCGTTCTACGAGGCCGGCGGAAACTTCATCGACACCGCGAACAACTACCAAGACGAGAGCTCTGAGGAGTTCATCGGACAGTGGATGGAGTCGCGCGGAATCCGCGACCAGATCGTTGTCGCCACCAAGGCGAGTTTGCTTAACCACCAGACGGCCGTTCTTGGGCGTTGCTTACTCTCGGGGTCGTAGTTCACCACCGACTACAAGCGCGGCCGGACGGACATCAAGCAGCACACGATGCACACAGGGAACAGCATGAAGTCCATGCACGTCTCGCTCGAGGAGTCGCTCAAGAAGCTGCGCACCTCGTACATCGACATTCTCTACGTTCACTGGGTACGTCTCGTCGACCGTATGCCTCTCTCCTTCCTGACGTACTTCGCGCGTCCAGTGGGACTACACCACCAGTATCGAAGAGCTCATGAATGGCCTCCACGGGGTCGTCATGTCGGGCAAGGTCATCTACCTGGTGCGTCTTCCCTCTTCCCCCTTCCACCACGTTCGAGTCCGTTCTGACCCCCGTCTCGGAACAGGGCATCTCCGACGCCCCCGCGTGGGTCGTCTCCCGCGCGAACCAGTACGCGCGCGACCACGGCAAAACGCCCTTTGCGATCTACCAGGGCAAGTGGAACGTGCTCATGCGCGACTTCGAGCGGGACATCATCCCGATGGCCCGCGCGGAGGGCATGGCGCTCGCGCCGTGGGACGTCCTCTCGTCCGGGCGCATCCGGACGGACGCGGAGGAGGAGAAACGCCGGCAGACGGGCGAGAACGGTGCGTGCTCAGTCCTTCCGGGCGCGGCGAGCGAGGGCGCTGCGCGTGCTGACGGACGCCCGCCAGGACGCACTGTCTGGTCGTCGGACTGGGAGCGGACGGAGGCGGAGCGCGCGATGTGCAAGGTCCTCGAGGAGGTCGGGGAGGAGGTCGGCGCGAAGTCGATCCAGGCCGGTACGTCTGTGCGCGTGTTCTTCGACGCGTCCTCCACCGCTGAGGACTCCGCACAGTGGCGATCGCGTACGTGATGCAGAAGACGCAGTACGTGTTCCCGATCGTCGGCGGGCGCAAGATCGAGCACATGCTCGCGAACATCGCCGCACTCGAGATCGCGCTCTCGGACGCCCACATCGCCAGGATCGAGTCCGCCTCGCCGTGGAACCCCGGGTTCCCGATGGACCTCTTCGTACGCAGCTACCACCTTTTCGCGCGTGTAGATGGCTGACGAGCGCGACAGGGCACGGGAGACGCTTACGCGTCCACGTGGATGATGGGCGCGCAGGTGAAGGCGTGGCCGCTGGCGCCTGCTATCCGTCCCACTCCCGCGAACTGAGAGCAAAGGAGGAACGGCTCAGGTAAGAAAGAACTGCGGCGATTCTGCGTCGACTGCAGTAAATACAAACGAGGCCGGATACTCACAAATATGCCAGCATTGAACGGTGCGACGGTCTCGATCTTCGTGATGTGCGCGCCCGTTAGCGTGATCTCGAGTGCAGTGATGCAGTCGAGCATATGGGGCTGGACCTTGCACCTTCTTCCTCCTGTGCGTCATCGCCACATGCGGTAGCTCTGTCATCCGCGAGCAAGTGGTCAGTGATTGATGGGGCGGACCAACATACAAGCTCGAACTGACTTCGCCCCAACGTCCTTGCGGACGTCTTCGAGAACCTGATCTGACATATCGTGCGCCTTGTCTCTGGCGCTCTTATGCACATTGAAATGTCCGTAATCAGCAATTTCCCTAGTCTCAAGACGCCTGGGAAGACATACGATACTCGTTCGTCTTCCGGTAGTGTTCTCCTTTCTTTGTACAGCGTATTTTGCCGCTCGCAGAGGCGTTCCACGGTGCGAGCTCCTCGAGGATGCTCCACCGATGCTGGCAGATCGTGGACGACTGGAGATCTTGTCGCAGTCGCACGCTTCCAGAATCCAGACCGAGTTTTGGAGTCCACTTGTGCAGGAAGAACATCGACAAGAGTGAGCCAACGACTCAATATATGACCTGGACCATAATTACGAGGCCGTGGAGGTCTTAATTGTATCTCAGGGACGCCGACGTCTACGTGGCTCAATGCGATAAACAAGGACTCTGGAGAGCCGCGTCGCCCATTAATCCAGTGACTTGAACTGCCACCGTCGTAAGCTCCAAATTATGAGATGCACGCTCAGTACGTACACCGCATCCTGGCAATCTTCATGTTCAACTGCGGTGCTGCTAACGGCCCGTCGCCGATGCTAGCATTGTGGAAGCTGGTAGAGTTGATGATCGGGGCGAACGACGAAAATATAGGGCGGTTGGAATGTCTATAGTAATCACGGTGAGACAGCGGTAGCACTGCATGAGCAGTGAGCAGGTGGTGAAGCGGCACGGAGAGTGGCGAAGGCAAAAACTCGAGAAGCACGGTCGACAACGAAGGTGCGTCGTCGCCAGTCCTCAGTCGCCAGCAGGCCGCTCGCGTGGCGAACACGTGCAGAGACCACGCGCGGGCACCGCCACCCTTCACGCCGCCGGTTCAGATCCAACCGCCGTGGGCAGATCATCTTGCTCTCATTCACCTCTCGACCCCTCCCCTCTCGACCCCTCCTCCAGACCCTTCCCGTCGCCGCCATGAGTCTCCTCTGTGCGCCAGGATGTGCCACCCACCCATCTCTCTCTCGTTCCACCGCTTCCCCCGCGAAAATCCGACGTCCCCAGCGTGTTTCCCGCCCAAATCGACATGGATCTCACCCAGCACCTCTTTGACGCATACACCAACCTCCCTTGCCACTCTCCGGACATTCTGAGCACGGAATACGAGTGCAGCATCCACGATGATACCTTTAAGCCTTCCCGCGACATCGACGAGTCATCCGCGGTCGATCTGCAGGTCCACTAGTGAGTAACTAGTCGGGTTGTTGGTGTTACATATGTCGGAAAAACCAAATCGGCCTCGCGAGGCCTCGCGAGGCATTCCGGACTGATCGGTGTTGCGAGGCCTCGCGAGCTAGGCTAATTAGCTCGCAATGTGATTACCGCCGTGACAGCGCCTTGCAATTTGCTGACAGCATGTCACAATCTGCCTAGCTCGGCTTGCAAGCCCTTGCAAGAGCCGCGCGCCAGCTTGCAATCAATGCGGTCACGCTCGCGATTGAGCCTCCGGCGGTTGCAAGCGGCTCGGCATGTTGCGACAGCCAAGCGGAGATCGCAATAGCAGCAGGTCCCATTGCAATTTAAAGCGGAGATTGAAAAGAGGCAACACGCGATGCAAAAGAAAGGGTAATACACGGGTTTTAGCTTCCTTCAGTCGCTTCTTACCCTCCTAATGATCCTTTCTATGAGAACATATCACATATTCACTTGCTCCCTTCTATAAGGCGTATTATTGATTATTGACTCGATCTAAACGGACTACAATTGGTACTATTTCGCCGACACTAGTACTCTACTAATACTCTACAACTACGACTAGATTCACAACTATGGCATACAAATTACGCTACTAGATGATTAGTATATTGTGATTACACTGAACAGAAATGACTCACAGTATGGGGATCGAACTCGCGATTGCACGTCGTTAAAGAGTGAAGGTCTATTGAGGCGTGAAAAACCATTAGTCCATGGGTCTGTTAAGCAGACTGTTACATACCTCTATATACCACATCGTTTCAGCGCGCTTGTGAACTTGCTACCGTCACCTGGCAGTATCCCGTGCTGCCCAGTTAACGGGCATGAGCCCAATAATCTGCAACTGTGTGTCCAGTCAATTTTGCCAGCATCAAGCGACCAGTACCAGAGCGTCGGTGTGTGCACATGAGCCGCGCTCTCGGCCAAACAAACCTAAGCTACCACCGAGATACGCGTCGACAACGACCTTGAGCTCCGGGTCCGGGTGCTGAACATGCAGTCACTTAGACAACAGCGCGATAGATGGGGCTGATGGACAGGGAGGGGCCGAGATGGGCGGCTGTTTCGGATATTGCGTTGTCTGAGGTGTTGTCGGCGACGTAGGACGAGGCGCGGCAACGGAAAAAGAGTGGGTGTCGGAGAATATGAATGAGGGGGAAGCACAAAGAACGGCGCGGGCGATGCGGAGACAATGAGAGCTCAAAACGGCTGGATCGGGATGTTTCAGGATGCGGGAGAGTCGAGGGCGGCGGGTTCGCCAAATATCGGCGATGTAGAAAGAGGCGGCGCGACTGAGCGTGGGGGGAACGCGGAAGTCAAGCATCCAGTTCGGAAGGCTCGCGCCGCCACCTTCGCCCGCTGACGAGATCTAGACGCGGGGTGACGACAACGATGAGGCCGTCCCAGTTGTCGTCCATGAGGACGATGTCGGACGCTTCCTTCGTGACCTCGGTGCCCGTGACGCCCATCGAGAAGCCGACGTGCGCAGCCTTGAGCGCGGGCCCGTCGTTAGTGCCGTCGCCGGTGATCGCCACGATCTCGCCGAGCTCCTTGAGGGTGGTGACGAGGATGCGCTTGTCCTCGGGCGACGAGCGCGCGAGCACCTGGAGACGCTGCACGGTCACGCGGCGCTCGGTGTCTGACAGCGCGCGGAACCGCGGGCCCTCCATGACGATGCCGCCGGGGGTGAAGATGCCACACTGAGTGGCAATGGAGCGCGTGGTGAGGACGTTGTCGCCGGTGCACATCTTGACCTGGACGCCTGCGCGGGCGCAGTCTGCCACCGCTTTGCGAACGCCGGGGCGAAGAGGGTCCTCAAGAGCGAAGAGGCCAGCGAGCGTGAGATCGCGTGCGAGATCCGTCCATGAGACCTAAAACAATGGTCAGAGAGGGCGTTCAACAAGGATGGGGTGACGTACTTCGTCGGCCTTGGGTGACCAGTCGTCCAAGTCTCGATAGCATACAGCGATGGTGTGGAGCGTCTGCGACGCGTACGACGTGATGCTCTCCAAGATCCGCGCCCGATCGTCTTCGTCGGTGACCTTCGTGACCACATTTTCTCGTTCTGTGACAACAACCTGGCGTGCGCACGCCGCGACGAGCACCTCGCTCGCGCCCTTGACGTACAGCCGCGCACGACCTCCCGGAAGACGCACCACGACACCCATCGCCTTGCGCTCGCTCGGGAACGGGAACACCTGTAGAGCCTCAGCAGCCTCTCGAACGGCCTTGTAGCCCGGCCATCTCGAGTCGCGCGCCATCGCCAGCAGTGCGGTCTCCGTCTTGCTGCCCACGAACACGGAGACGCCGGTGTTTGCGTCCGCATCTTCGAACGCGGTGCAGTTGATCGCAATGGCGTTGTTGAGGAGGGCACGAAGGGGAGGAGGAAGCGCGCCGCTGAGGCAGCGGAGCTCGATGGGAGTGGCGTCGGGTGTGGCGCGCTCGGGATTCTGGGCCAGATCGCGGACGAAGGCGAGGTCGCCGCCGATGGTGCCCGCCACGACGGTCATGGCGTTCTGCGTGAGCGTGCCGGTCTTGTCGGTGCAGATGACGCTGGTGTTCGCCATGGTCTCGCAGGAGTTGAGGACTCGGACGAGAAGGTTCTCGCGTGTCATCCGCTTGGTGGCCAACGCCAACGCGAGTGCGATGGCTAGAGGTAAACCTAAAGATGAATTAGAACGCATGCTTCGAGACAGCGCGAGCGATGGGCGTACCTTCAGGAACTGAGGCGACGACGAGCGTGAAGGACAAGATGAGAATGTCCACGAAAGCCAACCCTTTTTGGCTGGGGCTCCTACAAGGGACGTCAGCGATACACCGTCAGAGACGATCGCGAAAGATCCGCACATGTGGGGAGTGTCAGTGCCGATCTTGACGAAGTATCGAATGAGCAGCCCGATGAAGAGCATCAAACCGCCAAGTGAGCCTGCGACGGCGATCCTGTTAGCTAGATGCTCCAGCTTGCGCTGAAGGGCCGTGCCCTCTGCTGTCGCGGAGCGCTGTCCATGTCCCGTCAGAGCGAGGTGCGTACGGAGTGACAAGCATACATACAGGTCATGATGCGCCTATGGAACGAACGAGGCCTGACGGTGATGACAACGTACGAACCTACGCCCTCGAGGATCTTGCTACCACTGATGAGGAAGCAGTCGGTATGCGGAGAGGCGTCCTTCTTGTCGTGGTCGAGCGTCTTCCGCAGCTCCAAACAATCCTCGTACTTCATCTTCTTGATGACGTCACTCTCCCCTGTCGCGCCCGACTTGTCGCAGCGCACGTTGTGGCCTGAGAGAAACACACCGTCGCACAGCATGATCTACGTCGCTGACGACGACGGCATGCACGTCTATGAGGCGCTCTACACCCCCACGGACGACCTTGACGGTGCGCTCGTCCTTCTTCGCGTTGAGCACGCGGAACTGGCGCTCCTTCTGCCAGTCCGTGAGCGAGCCGACGAGCACGACGACGACGATCGCGACCATGATCGCGACGCCCTCGACCCACTCCACCGCGGGCTCGTCCGGGTCGCGCCCAGGCCCAAAGTCCTGGAAGAGGCCGAGCGCGAGAGAGATGACGGCGGCAACGGAGAGCAGGATCTGGACGGTGGGGCGCGGGTTGGAATGTGACGAGGGTGGAATGAGCTGAGGAGGGGGAGGGGGAGGAGCCAGGCGGTCTACTAGGACCGGATAGATCATGGAGGACGCACCACTCCTCCATCTTGAGAAGCTTGCCGGCGGCGACGGCCTTGACGACGTAGCCCTCGAGCTTCGCGGTGTCGAAGCTGCCCGGGCCGTACGCATGGACGGCAAACATGTTGAGCGTGGCGCAGCCAAACCTCGCGGCCTGCATGGACTCGTCGAGATAGGACTCACCGCTGGTCGTCACGAGAATCTGTTGCGCTGCCTGAGCACCACGTACCGACCCCGAACCCCACGAAGAGACAGCCAGGTGAGAAGGGAGGCACATACCGAGCTGTTCGACCCGAGCTGGTTCTTGATCGTCTGTGCGCGGTCGCGCTGCCACTGCGTGTGCGCGGCGATGTAGTCCGGGCCCTTGTCGACCTCATGCTCGGCCTTGAACGCGAAGATGTATATGAGCACTTTCTCCTCCCACAGTTTCGCGTTGTGTGCTCGTGGTGTAGGGTGTAGTACCCCAGCCGCCCGTCGAACACAGCGGTCTGTGGTGCAGCCTGTTCGTAGAAGAAGCCGGTACCGTAGATCGCGCCGTAGATCAACCGTAGACGTCCCCGGCTGCGAGCACGTTGAAGCTGTGCATCGAGATGAGAGCTGTGGGCGTGGAGGTGAGCTTGGGGTTGCCCCACAGGAAGGAGGGGGTCGGAGCGAACCTTGATCCCGAAGGAGTGGACCCTACACTCACTTGTACCCCGAGCATGATCTGACGCGTGCGCCGGGCTATCCCAGAGCGGTATAGACAAAAGTTGGGTGTCTGGGGTTGAATGTGACGGAAACGGAGTACTTACACTGGGGGCGTGCCCTTCGCACATTTCACCATCGTGTCCGCCGTGTCCTCCGGGTCCGCGTCCGCGTCACTGGAGATTGTGCGCCATCTTCTTGGGTGGCTGGCTGCTGGCGTGGTGGTTGAGTAAGCGGGATGTGGATCGAATGGAAGTGCGAGGGGTGCGGTTGAGGTCAGGGAACATGATGGTGGACAGAGGAAGAGAGCAATGCCTGCGCTTATCCACGAAATCGCGCCCATCTACACATAGACGCCGGGCCGGTGCGAGACTCATCTGCACGGGCTGAATTGTGTACCGCTGTTCAGGTCTCGCGGGGGTATGAAACCCACGCAGAACAGATTAATGACATCCGTTTGTGTTGCCAAAATACATCATATGTTTCCGGAGTAGCAAGCAATATCTGAAATGTGTAATACATTCACGGTCAAAGTATCTAGTAGCGTGAGCCTAAGGCTGACCGGCCTTCCGACGAGACGCAGTGGCCCGTGTAGTGCGACGGGTCTTCGCATCAGCGGAGAAGGGCTGAGCTGCAGCCAGGGTAGGAACAGTATCAAGGGGGATCTCGCCGTTCTCCACTTCAACCCGGGCGGAATCGGTGGGGACGATAGTACCGGAGTCTGCTGGGGCCTCGACCTGGCTTGGGACGGAGATGGACTCTGAGTCACGAGGATGTACTACCGCGACCGGTTCAACCGCCACCGTTGTGCTGACGCTTGTGCCATTGGTATTCCCTGCGCGAGACACCTGAACATCAACAGCATCTGCCAAAGCTGCGGCGTTCAAGGAGTCGCTGCCATGCGGAAGCTCAGTCAGCCAAAGAAATTCGTGATATTATGCAAGGACAAACCTGCGTGCGCGTGCACTGGTAGGCGCCACAGGAGATCCCTGCGTGGTCGAAGACGTACTAGGGGCAGCCGGGATGGAGGAGATCGACATTGCGGAGAGAGCCGGGACCACTCCATCGGAGGCCTTTGCAGCGACAGAGGCGAGATCGGTGTCTGAGATGTAGGTCGCCTGGGTAGAGAATGAAGCGATGGACGGTGGAGGGTGAGACTCCGAGGTGTATGCGCCAGAATGGGGTGGATCCACAAAGAAGACGTCGGCCGACACAATGGAGGTCGAAGCGACGGAGTGGCTCGACAGTGTGGACTCGGAGGCGGGCGTGCTCGACGTGTTTGACTGGTGGGCAGGATGGGATAACGTTGTAGATGCCGATGCATGCTGTAAGACCTGACCTTCTCGGCGAGAAGTGCCCACATGCAAGTCGTCCTCTAGATCGGAAGGAAGATCGTCGAGATCTACTACATCGGAGTCGTTAGCAAGGTCAACTTCGACGTTCTCGACCGCGATGGTGTGCTGGAGGCCGCCATTGAACACGAAGTCGTTGAATGCCTTGAGAATGAACCGTACAATCTTTGTATCTTGGTTGATGTACATCCACTTGAAGTATTCTTCGTAGTCGGCTTCGTAATCCCGGTGTGAGTCAGGCCCGACTGAGGAGAAGCAAGAGTCGAAAGAAAGAAGATATCTGGTCTGCCACGCAGGGATCTCAGGACAGGCAACGCAAGGTGGAGAAAATAACTCACGACCACAGTCGCCATTGCGACCATACCAATAGTTGCCCGTGTGATGTTGTACTTGACCCCGGTAGAGTTAGATGCAGGTTTCGAGCGCGTGAGTGCGGTCTTTGAGAACATCATGATGCGACAGGTCTAAACACACGACAAAGGACGTTAGAAGGCAAAGCTCGTGGACGTAAACTTCACGAGGCTCACCTTGAGAATTGCTGGGGCCTGTAGCCGGTTATAAACGCAATTTTCCTTCTCCTTTCCGCCAGAGTGCAGAAAAGGGGCCCAAGGACCGTCGTGATCATCACCACGGAGATGAGACAAGATCGGATGAGTCTTCAGAGAGTTGCTGGACGACCATTGGACGTCGCGGAGGGAGTCAATGTGCGAGAAGATCTCAGCCCGCATCTGCTTGCTGTGCGTGATCACATTGGTCTTGAGGCTGCCAATGTGACGGGCGAACTGCCCGATTTTGTAGCGGTAAACATCTCGTATCTGCGTAGAAGTAGAATGGAACAGCTTACATTGTCTCGAATCGACTCACGATGGAAGGCTTTGAGGACGTTCGGAGAGAGAAATTCGCGAAGCTCAGCGGCACGCGCCTGGTGGGACCGGTCGTGAGGATCCTCGTCACTGGGGTCAGGGGTCTTCCAGCGCCACTCGGTGTTGCGTGGATCGCAGGTGGCCGGGTTGGCAGCTCTCGTGAGAACACCGTTGAAGAGCCAGAGCGTCACCCTCAGCCCGTACCTATAAGCATCCGCCTTGACATCGTCGTCGAGATCGTGAACCCCGGGGGCCTTCTTTTTCTTCTTCGACTTGCTGGAGCTGTCGTGGAGGTCTTGAATTTGAAGGTTTGCCGCACCGACAAGCTTGTGAAGCTGATCGTTCTTCCTGTGTGCTTGGTAGAGAGCCTGTAAGAACGACAAATGTTCGGTGAGTGCTTACTCAATAAGGGAAGTGTGTGCGTAAGTTGCGTACCTCCTGGTACTCATCGATTGAAGCGTTGGGCGGGGGCAAAATAATGGGGCCAGGGGCAGTAGGCGTGGTCCCCAATGCTAGTGGAGCATCGCCGCTGGCGGACGTCATCTGCAGACGAAGAGGTGTTAGTATGAGAATCATAGAGTGAGAGTCTACTACGGACCCTTTGAACGTTCAGTCAAGCGGGGGGAAGGGAGCGATGACTGGGCCGGTGCCGGTGGTGAACGGGCCTGGAGTCTGAAGTCTGGATGGCTTGGTATTTATACGTCCGATTGTCCAGTGGGTGAGATGTCAGTGGTGATGACGTGCTACCTATTTTCGATGAGTGCACACCTGCTTTCGCCGAGCCCTCAGATTTTGAGAGCGTCCTGAGCTCCGCGATGGTTCAGGTCCGGATTGAAGTCCTCGACCTCAACCTCATGGCAGCTTCTCGCCGGGCATTCACCCATCGATCGCTGCGCTGCGTGTTCAATCTGTCAACAAGTCCGATCACCTCATGTGTTCCACGAGGTTTCATGTTGGCGATCAGCGTACACTTGAGCACATTGCAAGAGACGTAATATGTCAGAAGAATGCTCACCTTGGATATCGGAAGTGTGTCAGATCATCCTCGAGACTGCCTCGTTCCTGCGCGCGCCAGGTCCACCGCTGCGGCAGCGCCGACTCCTCCAGCCACTCGGCAACTCTTTCTTTTCTGCGTCCTTGTCCGCATTGCCGGCAAGGTGGAGGCAGGCACTCGCGTGCATGCCCACAATACACTTCACAGGGCTCACCGGCGGCTCACCGTAGGGGCTCGAGCAGGCGAGACCAAGGCGGATCTCGCGCGGCAGCACTGCAGTGGGGTAGAACGTGTCCCCGTGCTGTCCAGGGAGGACGTTAAAGCGGTGACCTTACGCTGCCAGGTACTCGCTAGCCACTTCGCCTGGTCTAGCTTCTTGATCACCTGCACCTTTGCGTGCGTGCTATTGTGCGGGGAGGAGCCTGACGAGCCTTCCCCATCGTTGTTGTCGTAATTGGACAGGATGAAAGGTCGAGTCACAGGTCGCATGGCGCAGGTGGCACACCTCGGACGGATCTAGACGGGGGCTAGAGCTAGGAGCGCGAGATGTGGCAGGCAAAGAGAAGGCGGATGTGTCACATACGAGCTGGCGATAACGCATAGCGTTGGCATTGAAAGCGGTGAAGCGACCTGCATGGCGCGAATACTTGAGCTCGTTAGCAGAGGCATCGTGGTGGGAGCGGGAGGAGAGGTAGAGCCTGGAGAGGCTGATGTGCTGGAGGGGGGTGTCGCTGTTGGAAGGGCGCCGGAGTGAGCCTGGTAGTACTCGAACTCCTCCTCCATCAGCACCGTCTTTGTGAAGTCCGCGACGTCTGCGACGTCCGCAACTGCGAATGTTGTGTCGACCTCGAAGCTCGGTGCGCCGACACCGCCCACCACGTCCATGTCCGGCATCTTGATGCTCCCCAGAGCCTTGTCGTTCCAGACAATGGTGAGACCCTCAGGGGACGCGATCTTCGCGTCGACTGCATGATATGGTCGCCGAATGAGAACGAATCAGAGAGGCAAAGAGGGCGGGAACATACATGGTCTGGCATTGGTGATCGACCCCTTCAGGTTTGTCGAACCGTCCCAGACGGGTTCTCCTGCACACCCTTGATCACCACCGTCAAGTTGGTCCAGAGCATGGAGCCAGACACAACATCCTGCACGATTGGCTGCGCAAGTGGCACGGGCAGGATCAGGATTGGGCTCGTGTCCGTCTTGATCGTCACGTTCGGCTGCGTGTAAGAGAGCGTAGTCGAGTACTCCCCGATCGTGACGCCCACAGTGAGCGCGACCTCCGTGGCAAGCCCGTGGCGAGCCTTGTGAACGCCTTATCGACGAAGGGAGGGAGGACGAAGTTCCTACAAGATTCGGTCAGCCTCCGCAGGTAGCAAAACGTAGATGGGAGTGCGCACGTGAAGATGGTGTTGACCACCCGCTTCGACCCACCGACGCTGTTCAGGTGGTGGTACCCGCCGAGCATGACGAAGTGGTCGAGGGGCACCGTGTCCTCGCTCGCCTGCTCCGCAAGCGGCTTCGTGACCGTGAAGAGACTCTGCAGGTCCATGTTGAGGTTGAGGTTGAACACAGGCCCCAAGGTCATCGTCGACTTGCCCGCGGACGAGAAGGTGGAGGGAAATGCCCCGGGAGATGACGTTGGACGAGATGTGTGTGATATCAAGTGTGGTGGTGATTCTAGAACTCGAGTCCGAACGCAATGTCGCCAGAGCCTGCTCGTTCGTGATCAGCACCTCATGCGACCCATCTCCGCTCATGTACTCACCGAGTGTGATGTTGCTCGGGTTGAACAGGTCCGACGTGACCTTGATGAGCAAAAAGTTCGCGAATCCTTGGATCACGTCCAGGCTCGTCACGACCAACGACCTTGCGTTCAGGCCCTGCAGGCCCGCGACTGTTGACTTGACCACGAACTCGATGTTCGTCAGCGAGAGCACGCCGATGGCCGTGTTTGCGTCCGTGTCCGCTCAGCCGCATTGTCACGCTCTTGCCCGTTGCGGTGTCCGAGAGGAACTGCTTGAACACGGTGTGCTGCCCATCCGCGAAGTCGAAGGGCACGCCGGCGAACGCGAGGTGGATCGCGCGCGCGTCCACGTCTGTCGTGCTTGGGCCCTTGGAGATCGCGAGCGTCGCGAAGTCTGCGCCGTCCGTCCTGATGGAGATCGTCTGGCCGACGGCGGTGATATCATTGGGGAATGCGAAGGGGAGGGCGAACCGGGGCGTGGTGGTGTCGTTGCAGCCGAAGGCGGGGGAGAACGCGAAGTCCTGTGGCGAGGGTGCACGCTGGTTAGCACTGCCATGTCAGAAGTACTAAACCCAAACGCACCATCGTAATTCAATGCGTTTCGGGGGGCGAGATCGCGTCGTAGACGAGCGGGATCAGGCGGCCGGAGGTGAGCTGTGGGAGCTCGGCGAGGACGGCGGCGTCGGGGAGGGCGCGGTCGAGGACATGCGTGGTGGTGGCGGCAGCGGCGGTGCCCGTGGCGGACACCCGCTGGTGAACAGGCCTAGGGCAGCACTGACTCGTGAGGTGCCATTGCACGCAAGAGCACAGTGCATGCGAGACCACGCACGCGAGGTGACGGTGTGAGATGCCAACGCATCCGCGAGACGGTGCACGGGAGACGGCGCACGAGACGGCGCGAGGGAGACAGCGCTGGCGAGACGGTGCGTGCGAGGGAGATGGCACATGGGAGACGGGAGACGGGAGACGGGAGACGGGAGACGGGAGATGGGAGACGGGAGACGGGAGACGGCGTGGGCGAGTGAGACGGCGCGGGCGATCCCTCGCCCATGGGAGACGGCGTGGGCGAATGACGGCGCAGGCGAGACGGTGCAGGCGAGTTGAAGGCACGGTGTGGGTGAGAGACGGCGTGGGTGAGAGACGGCGTAGGTGCGAGACAGCACGAGCAAGATGGCGCGGGCAAGAAGGCGCGAGTGAGACGCCGGTGCAGACGGTGCGGGCGAGATGGTGAGACAGCGCGAGCGAGATGGTGCAGGTGAGAAGGTGTGGGCGAGAGATCGCGTGGGCGAGCGAGACGGCGTGGGCGATCCCTCACCCACGGGAAACGGCATGGGAACATGACGTGACTGATGGACGACGCCGGCGGAGGAGGGTCGTGTGAGTGGGCTACGATGTGGGTGATGAGGTGGGCAGCGTGTGCTGACGACGCCGGCGGAGGACGCCAGTAGGGAGGAGGATATGGACGTGGCGCGCGGAGGCAGGCGACGCGGAGAAATGTCACACGAGCAGTGCGGGGAGAGGCAGAGGTCTGGGGAGGGGTGAGGGAGGACATAGGTGTGGACAATGTGGAGAGGGAGGAGGCGGCAGACGATGCGGGGCGAGGAGGCGACGTTGGACGGGACAACTCGGAGGTGGAGGAGGGCGGCACGGGCAGACGCACACAAGGCGGAGGGGGGAAAAGCAGGAGGAGGGCAAGGCAGGTGGAAGCAGGCGGTGGGCGGCACGCAGGCGAGCAACGAGGAGGTGGGCGAGGCGGAGGAGGTGGGCCGACATTCAGTAGCCCCACGGGAGCCAAGGGTACACGGGTTCTGGAGACCGCACCCGCACCCGTACCCTAAGCACCCGCACCCTCGGTGATCCCTACGTGGCGAGGAGCTAAGTTGTCAAGCCCGTCAGACCTGTGGAGTTTCAACTCAGTGAGGGTGAGAAGCAGGACTGTACTAACGCCGGTTTAGGTCGTCGGGTCACAGTTGCAGATAAGGCTGGGGCCGATACAGCCAACAAGGGGGTACGAGGAAGACACGGTGTGTGGATGCAGGCGCCTGGGAATCAGTTCCCACGCGTCGCGCGTGTAAACGCTCAGCGCAGCGCAGTCTGCACCACAGACTCTAGCTGTGCGGGGTATGCATTAGTCAGTCTACAACTAGCCTTGTACACTATTCAGCCCATTCTGGAACTCCACTTTTGAGCCTGAGGAACATATCTGCATCAACCATGTCCACCACTAGTCTGTCAAGTCCACCATGACCCGGATCATCCATTACCAATGCACCTCGAACCACGGATAGCGCGGAGATGAACAGGTCTTGTGGTGGTGTTGAATCTGTGAGTCGATGAAGCCCGAGCTCTTTGTCAATCTTGGTTCGTGGTCCAGGTGGAAAGTTGAGTCGTTCTGCATAGATGATGGGGTAAAGGGTGTCTGCAATGCTGATAGCAAACACCAAGCGCATTTTTGCGAATGCAAGGTGGCCAGAGGAGAGCTGATATATGATATAATCATATCGTGGGACGTTGTGGAACTGTTCAGAGCATCGCAAATAATCTGTCTCGGATTTCCAAGTGACTTGTGAGCGATATGAGACCTTCAAGTACCGTGACATGATAATCTGTGCACATTCAGTTACCCAACCAGCCAACAAGATGTGAAAGTTGAGGCTCACAGGATGGGATGTATCCAAAAAAAAGCCCTGAGTGGCAGACTGTGCTTCAAGGAAGTCTTGGAGCTTTGAATGGAAGTGTAAAGGCATGTTATTCACAGCTATGATAGTTGCAAGAGGTGTGGCTGCCGATCTTGAACCAAGGTAGACATGACTAAATTGAAAATCACTGGTATTAGGAGCTGGAGGCCCCTGCGGTAGATTTTCAAGGCCTTGTAGAGCCTGAAGCTTGAACCTGATTTGTTTTGCAATAGAGAGCTGCTGCTCATACCGAGCTATCTAATATTTCCTTGTTTGAGATCTGAATAAAAGGGTACAGAAGAAGTGTAATTCTTTACCTGTTCCTCCACATTCTTGAAGTTTGTGCGCTGTTCAAAAATATCCTTGAGCACACCATGTGACTTCTCAAAGGGCTTGCTGGTGGTGTTCAGAGTGACACCTTTCTGCAGAATATCATCAGGTGCGTGCTGTTGTGTGTGCATTTTGGGAAAGTTCCAATTCTTGTCTGGGTGGACTCTCAAGTACTCCTATAATATTTGAAACAGTCAGTAAATATATTGACAAAATAGGAGTGATGTGTGCACTTTGATAGCATCTGAGAAAAGAGGTAGGGTTGCCGAGAAACAATCCACAGTGGTGAGAGTATGACATTCAAAGCCTGAATAAATATCCAGGATATTGTAGAGTCGGATGCATTTCATGAGAATGTATTCGCGGCTGTTCTGAAATGCTCTAGCTTGGAATAGTGTGTATGCTGCTGGAACCAAGATCTTGGCAGTGTTTTAATTAAAAAAATCCTTAAACACACTTCAGTTAAGCACACCTTTGAGATATCTTCATACTTTGACCCATCAGTGAAATTGACAGATGTAACCTCACTGAAGTGATTGAGATTTGACCACCGTGGAACTTTGTCAAACCTGTAGTCATATTTCAGTCAGATATATGGTACAATATAGCTTCAGAGCACTGACGCTTCATTGACATCCAGCCTCTGATAGGATGGCCGTGCCTCCATCACTTTCTGGAACTCAGCAAAGAGATGGTCACTGAACAAGCCACCGTGATAGGCATGTAGTCGGTCCCAGGAAAGTGTTTGATGCGGATCAGAGAAAGGAACATCCCAAAAAACATTCTGAGGCACAAACAATCAGCCAGTTTAATATACCATTATATTAATAGACACTCACAGTCAGAGGCCGAAGACCAATCGCTTTGCATGCATCCTCCTTCTCTTGCTTGCTGCGATTGCTGAGCACAATTGAACTTGATTCTGATGCTGTACGTAGGGGATGGAGTGTAGTGGTTCCCAAAGTAACTTGCTCTTTGGATGGAACTAGACAGATTGGGCACGGACAAGCACCCTTGACACCACGGATGAGAGACATCACACACCTATTTAAATTTCAGTGTACCTGCATAGCTGGGAAGCTTGGGAAGGACTTACTGCTCTTCATAGTCTGCTGTGAGAATCAAAATAATTGCCCATAGCACCCGCAGCAACCCATCCCCACACTCGACTGGATATCCGAGTTTAGCGTGTTTTATGAATGTCTCCAGCAGAATGTGGAAGGACTTGTGCCAGACAATTCTTTTCAGAGCTGTGAATCCTAGACGTCCCTCTTCGACATCATCCTCAACCTGGACCTATAATTAGGAGGTATACACCTGATACAAGAATTGAAACCATACAATAGGGAGAAATCCCACAACTTGCCCTCCACCATACCCTTCGCCATTTCGGATATGAGAGGGGAGGTTGGCGAGTCGTGCGATAATTGGATAACCTTTTCTGGTTCCAAATGACGACAAGCGGGTCTTGTCAGCATACAGCTGGAAGGCTAGGAGCCACCCTTTCTGTCCAAGTTGGTCCTACAATGTTGTGTTAGCATAGTATTCACTGTGTGAAGGTGGCACGGCGACATATTATAATGCTGCCGGGAAGCACACATAACCACGCGCCTCGCATAGCACTCAACGCACGAAGCACGAAGCACTGGATGTGACACACTGGCAGACAAGATGCACATAACGCAACGCAACGCATAGCGCGCACCCACGGCACGCGATGCACCACGGCGCACAACGCACGTCGTGCAACCCGCGGTGCATCGGCCGCGGCGCGTCAGATGCCGGCGACACACCGACGCGACACACTGGCAGACGCTACGCTGCGCACGCAGCACACACAGAACAACGCACAGCACATAACTTGAGTGCCACGGTACGTGATGCACCGCGGCACACGACGCACATGATCGCGCAACCCGCGGCACGTCGGCCGGACGTGACGCCCTGACGCGACAAACCGGGAGACGTTACGCTGCGCACGCAGTGCACAACTCGAGTGCCACGGCACGCAATGCACGTCGCGCAACCTGCGGTGCGTCGGCCGCGGTGCGTCAGATGCGACACACCGACGTGACACACTGGCAGACGTTACGCTGCGCACGCAGCGCACGCAGCGCACGCAGCACAACGCACAGCGCACAGCGCATAACTTGAGTGCCACGGTACGTGATGCACCGCGGCACACGACGCACATGATCGCGCAACCCGCGGCACGTCGGCCGTACGTGACGCCCTGACGCAACAAACCGGGAGACGTTACGCTGCGCACGCAGCGCACAACTCGAGTGCCACGGCACGCGATGCACGTCGCGCAACCTGCGGTGCGTCGGCCGCGGTGCGTCAGATGCGACACACCGACGCGACACACTGGCAGACGCTACGCCGCGCACGCGTGACGCAGCACAACGCATAGTGTACAACTCGAGTGCCATGGCACATGATGCACCACGGCACACGACGCACATCGCGCAACCCGCGGCACGTCGGTCAGACGCGACACACCCGACGCGAGTCACTGGCGGATAGAATACACGGCGCAGCATGCAGCGTGCAACACGGTGGCACACAATGATGCACCACGCGCGACCTGTGGC